TGATTTAGTGGCTAATTCGTATGAATTCGTACGATCTAAATCGTACAATTTAGTACGATTTGCTCATCCCCCAATGACGGTTGGGTTTAGGGGTGGGGTTAGGTGCCACACCTCCTTTTCAAAATTGTACAATTTCGTAAAAATATAATAAATATAATAAATATAATTAATAAATTAATAAATTTATTAATTTATTAATATTATTAATTTATTCATATTTATTATAATTTATTAATAAATAAATTAATAAATATAATAAATATAATTTCGTAAAATATAGCTTAATGGGGCTAATAATTTTATCCTTAGTGTTTAAAAAATTAAAAACTGCTTTTATTCTCCCCAAAATAAAACAAATAAGACTTTCTCCAGAAGAAAAAACATTATCAGACATACTGTCAAAACTTCCTTGCTCTGTTAAACATTATTTGGCAAATATAAGACAAAAAAAAAAAAAAATCAAAGGGAGGCTAATAATTCTGACTTCAATTGTATATATATATATATATATATATATATATATATATATATATATATATATATGTAGTTATTTAACTTAAATAAAATAAAAAATAAATAAAAAATCAATTAAAAATATTCATTTATTCATTTTCTTTTTTTGGCTTAGTCACTTTATTAATCCGGGGTCGCCACAGCGGAATGAATCGTCAACTTATCCAGCATGTTTTTACACAGTGGATGCCCTTCCAGCCACAACCCATCTCTGGGAAACATCCACACACACTCATTCACAATCATTCACTAAGGACAATTTAGCCTACCCAATTCCCCTGTAGCGCATGTGTTTGGACTGTGGGGGAAACCGGAGCACCCAGATGAAACCTACGCGAATGCACATGCAAACTCCACACAGAAACGCCAACTGACCCAACTGAGGCTTGAACCTGCGACCTTCTTGCTGTGAGGCGACAGCACTACCTACTGCGCCACTGTGTCGCCTGCTAAAAATATTTAAATGCTAAAAAGCACACAAATGTATTTTGATTTAGTGTTGAATGTAGTGTTTAACAGTTAAGATTACATTTAAAGATGCATTAAAATAATCAGCAAATAAAAGAAGTATTACATAATTTAGTAAAAAAAATGAAAACAGACTTATGTTGAAAATCTCCGAATCGATTTTTCACCACAGCTCAGATAATCCGTCCAAACTGGAGTAGTTGTATTTAAAAGTAAACATTTCTGCGATCACATGAAACCAAACTGATGTTCACGAAACACAAACGGAGAGAATAAAACAGAAATAAGGAAGTAAATGAGAAACACGTGCAGCTCAGGAGACTCACAGTGCTGGAGTGAGAATCAGGAGCTCAATTCTCAGCTTTCATTAGTGTACGGCTGTAAATGAGCTGAAAGTGCGCTGTGAGAATCTGTTGATCGCTCCCGCAGGTACACGTCACAGCCGCTCTTTATTAAACACTTTAACTGTGTGGTAAACAGACTCAATGTTCAGCCCGGACTAATGGATAGTCAGACAGAATCCAATTACTCCAGAACCCGTTTACCGGCGCTGCCCACGACTCCGGATTCCTCCAGGCCTTCTCCGTGGTGTCACGCTGACTTGTCCTCCGGCGGTGTTTTCTGACGGAATTTTAATATGAAACTCTTATTCTCAATGTTAGTGCTTCATTTTTGCTCTCTGCTCTGCAAAATTGCTCTTCTTCGATTTTTAAGTCTTGTTTCAAGTCCAAATATCTAAAAATTCTTAAATCACAAAGCATTTACTAGACAAGCAAAACATATTGTCATGCTTTAATAAATAATATGGTAACATTTTGTGAGTTCTGCCAATACGGTTGCAAATATATACAAAAATAAAAAGCTGTAAAATCAGATGTGCATCAGTGTTCACAGCCTTTGCTCAACACTCTGTTGATGCACCTTTAGCAGCGATTACAGCCTCAAGACTTTCTGAATATGATGCCACAAGCTTGGCACACCTATCTTTGGGAATTTTGGCCCACTCCTCTTTGCAGTACCTCTCAAGCTCTATGAGGTTGGATGGGAAGCGACAGTGTACAGTCATTTTCAGATCCTTTCAGAGATGTTCAATAGGATTTAGGTCTGGGCTCTGGCTGGGCCACTCTAGGACATTCACAGAGTTTATTTTAAGCCACTCCATTGATATGTTGTCGGTGTGCTTTGGGTCATTCTCCTGCTGGAAGATGAAGCGTCGCCCCAGTCTGAGGTCAAGAGCACTCTTGTGCAGGTCTTCATTCGGGATGTCTCTGTACATCGCTGCATTCATCTTTCCCTCTACCCTGACTAGTCTTCCAGTTCCTGCTGCTGAAACACATCCCCACAGCATGATGCCAACACCACCATGCTTCACTGTAGGGATGCTGTTAGCCTGCTGATGAGCGCTGCCTGCTGTTCTCCAAACGTAACGCCTGGCGTTCACTCCAAAGAGTTCAGTTTGAGTCTCATCAGAGCAGAGAGTTTAGTTTCTGATGCTCTGAGAGTCCTTCACATGGCAAAC